ACTGTGTGACCCTGGGAACAGAGGCTGGGCCCAAATCCACTGAGATGGACCGGGATCTTCTAATGGTGACTTTAGCCATCCAGGAATTTGGCTTGGCCCAGTTCAAAACTAAAGTGGTTGAACGAAGTCTTCTACTGCTGGCCAAGACAGGGTAACAGAGATAATGTTTACTCTCCCGCCTGGTGGAGGTGGGGAGAGGGGTGGAGAACATTCAGGAAACAATGGTCTTTAAAACATTGTACATCAGGCAATGAAGGATGTGATCTGTGAGATGAAGGAAACAAGTGAAGTGAGCCCTAAGATCGCCCCAGTTTACTCTCTTGAGAGTTTCCACAGCACAGGGAGGAAGAACAGGCAGAGCCAGGCAGACTCCCTGGGTTGAAGAGACAGAGCTGAGAGTCCGGGGAGACTGAGGCAGCCAGAGTACATAGGACAGAGCACCCAAGAGAAGAGAGCTGCTCAGATACAGAGCTCCTGAGACCTGAAGAGGGCCCCTTGCAGCTTCCAGAAGAGGACTAATCATGCATGTGTGTGAGAGAAGCACACGAGACCAGGGAGAGGACCGTGCAAGAGAATTAGAAGGAGTAGTGTGGGCGTTCACACAAAGCCTGGAATAGTGCCTGTTTCCATCAGCCAGACGGAAAAACTATAATTCACAGGGCACGCGGTAGAGTTCTCAGGAAGGCTTTGTCTCAGCTGTAGAGGATTCCTAGCCCTAGACTGGGCACTTCTCTGGACCTGCCTCACAATCCGTAAGAGCTAAATCTGAAAGGACCTGTTACCCAGTAACCTTACTGCACCCCCAGAATAAAGTAAAGAAGATTCACAAATATGCAAAACTATCCAGTGTCCGAAAAGGAAAAATTCATAATGTCCGGAATCTAACCAAAAATTACCAGGGGGCTTCTCTGGTGACGCAGCGGTTGAGAGTCCGCCTGCCGATGCAGGGGACGTGGGTTCGTGCCCCAGTACGGGAGGATCCCACATGCAGCAGAGCGGCTGGGCCCGTGGACCATGGCCGCTGAGCCTGCGCGGCCGGAACCTGTGCTCCGCGGCAGGAGAGGCCGCGACGGCGAGAGGCCCGCGTACCCCCAAAAAAAAAAAAAAAAATTACCAGGTGTGCAGAGAGGAAGAAAAACCAGACCCATAATGAGGAGAATAATCAGCCCCCTGAAATCAACCCAGAGTTGATATAGCCTTTAGAATTAGCAGAGAAAAACATTAAAACAGACATATAACTGTATTCCATATGTTTAAAAAATGAAGTAGAGGGAATTACCTGGTGGTCCAGTGGTTAGGACACTGCGCTTCCACTGCAGGGGGCACACCCAGGTTACATCCCTGGTCAGGGAACTAAGATCCCACAAGCCACATAGCATGGCCAAAAGAAAAAAGAAAAAAAGAAGTAGAGGCATGGAAATTTTTAAAAAAGACCCAGATCAAACTTCTAGAGATGAAAACGCTAACGTCTAAGATTTAAAAAAAAAAAAAAAAAAAGACATGGGATGGGATTAACAAAAGATTGGACATTGCAGAAGAAAAGATTAGTAAACCTGAAGGCATAGCAACGGAATCGCAAATGAAGTACAGAGAGAAAAAAGACTTTAAGAAATGAAAAGGGCATCAGTAGCTATCGGACTTTAAGCAGCCAATTGGATTTCCTGAGGAGAGAAGGGACAGAAAATTTCCTGAAGAAAAATAGCTGAGACCTTTCCAAACTTAAAGAAAACTATAACCTGCAAATCCAAGTTCAACAAACCCCAAGCATAAGAAACATGAAGAAATCTACATGAAGAAAGGCACATCAGAGTCAAATTGCTCAAATTAACATGGTCAGTATTATCAAGGGTTTTAAATATATCTTAGCCAAGCTAGAAAGTGAAGATCCTTCCAAGATGCCTGTCAGGACTGCAGAGGAAGCCTTGGGGAGAAGTGAAAGAGATGATAGCATCCATGGAGACACACCAGCTACGCCACCACCAGGCAGCAGTGGCAGGAAGTATTCCGTGTGGCCAGCCCGGCCCCTGGCGTGGCCAAGGCCCTCACCACTACTGCCACCACACAACAGTCTGACATGTGCCCTACCCCCACTTCCATCCCTGTGCCCCAGGTGTACTTTGTCATGAAAGTCACCTTTCAGTCCTATGTACTGTTTAGGGGGTGTCCTCTTTTGCATCTAGAGCCTACCACAAATTATTACATGGCCTCATCTATCCAAAACAACCTCTCTAAGCTGGACCCGCTTAGCCCCCTTTAAATGGGTAAGGAAACTGGAGAAAAGAGTCACAGTGTTTTGCCCAGGATAACAGACAATATGTGACAGCGCAAGAGTTCAAACCCAGCCTGTGTCTGAAATCAACGATTTTCCTGGCAAAGACAGTTGGGGAAGCATAATACGGCTTCGACTATAAGCCCCATGAGGTCAAGGATCTTCACCTGTTTCGCTTTCTGTTGCATCTCAAGTGCTTAGAAAAATATAAGCCATTCCAATAAATATGTTAAATGAATAACCAGCTCTGAAGTCAGAAAACTTTTGTTCAGATCTTGGCTCCACTCTTTCCCAGCTTTATGACCTCAGAGCAAATCATCTCAGCCGGACAAGGTTAATAATCAATAGTACCTACCTGCACGACCTGTCAGGCTTCACTGTGGAGATTCATAAAAATGACTAGCAGTGTCTACCACAGTAGACATTCAATAAATGTGTTAAAAATTAAAATAAGTAAATAAAGGAACCTAGTGAAGGCTCCCCGTTACCTATCCTGGCTTTTATTCTTGTGGCAGATGTTTTATTCTTTGCAGTTCTCTGCCTTCCTAAATTTAGAGGCTATTTGAGCCCCATCTCTCCTGTGAGGCCACCAAAAGGGAGGCTGACAGTGGAGAAGGAAGGCCTGGGGAAGGGATACAGACACCGCTGACAGCACCTGCCTGTCTTATTTACCTACCACCCAAGGTGGTTAAAGGGCAGGGAATGAGGCGGACAGTGTGGGCAGACAGACATCCACGTCCTTCATACACTGCTGAGGCCATCCAGGGCCACGGCCACCACAGACCAGCTGCCTGGTTAAGGAGGTGAAAGAGGGCGGGCCTCTGCTCTGGGGTACCAAGCACCTCAAAGGCCTCCCCTGATCCCTGTCACCCCTCACTGCCAACAGCTCAATGAAGGTGGGGATCTGGATTGGCACCCGGAAAGGAAGAGGCCAAAAGGGGGTTCCCATTCTTAACCAAAGGGAGTGTGTTAGTCTGAGTCCTCTGAGAAGTAAATGTCAATACAGAATGAAACATGCAATAAATGTATTAGGGGAAATGCCTGTGGGGGAAATCTGGAAGGGCTAGAAGAGGCGGGGGAGCCGTCAGACCCCAGTGAAGTAGAGAAGAGAGGAGGTTGGGTGGAATCATCCCAGTGTGCTCGTCATCCAAGGAGTTTTTGGCAAGGCCAATGGGGAGTATTGGAGCCAGTGACCCATCAAAGGAGTCTTACATCCCCCGGGCATCCCCTTGGTATCCTGCCTTAGTGTCCCCATTGCACTCTGCCTTTGACTGTGAGAACACTGTCAGAAGTGTGGCCTCAACACCCAGGGGGTGATGGATTTCAGAGCGCAGCAGCTGAGGACCTCCATCAATTACACTCCCTGGAGTTGGGGATCTGACAGGCGCATTTTCGTGCTCGCCATGGGGCGGGTCTAGCAGAGTGGAGGTTAAGGACAAGAAAGGAGTAAAAGGGTTCTTGCAGAAACCTTCAAGGGCATGAAATTTCTCTGAAGGTTGCTATGAGCTTCTCACCAATCTGTGACTCAAATTTTTCTGCTGAATCAGGACACCTCCTCCTCTTTCTTGGAGGCCTCATTTGTTTCAGATTCATGCTGCAAACAAAATGAGAAAGAGAAAGAAGAAAGAAGATGATCGTTCCAGAAAGGACCTATGGGTCATCCCATCTAGCCCTCTGCCAGTGGGGGCCCCTGCAGGCCGGGGCCAGCAGAGTATTGCTGTGGCTATGCTGGGGGCAGTACGGACCCAGATGTAGGGAGTATATATCCCCCAGGAAAGCACAAGCACTTGACTATAGAGCTCAGATCAGACGGTTCCCACCCACCCCCAACTGGGGCTCTACACTCTGGATGGGGAGAAGAATCAACCTCTCAAGGAAACCTGCAAAAGACCCTTTGCTCCAAATTCAGCCCCAGCTGCTGCCGGGTCTTTCTTGAGTTCAGCAGCATCTCCCTGCTCACAATCTTCCCCTTTCTCAGCACCCCTTCCTTCCTCTTCCTCCACATCCCCAGATGAAGCCAGCAGGAGAATGGCAGCTGCTAAGATGCTTAAGCACAAGGGCCAGATCTTCCCCAGTGGCCTTCCCCAGAGCTGCAGGGGAGCAGACAGCTGCCAAAGCAGAGAAGCGCAGAGAAAGAAAAGCTGTGTCCCAAGGCACCCCAGGGGAGGACCATGCCTTGGGAGTGCTCTGAGGAAGGAGTGGGGAGACCTGACCAGACCTCCCCTCCAGAGTGTGGTTCCCTCCTTGTCTGCTGAGCCCTGGACTGGCCTGTTCTGAAGGTCCCCCAACCTAGTTCCCATCCCAAGATTAGAAAAACCAGCAGGATGATTTGCCTGGGGCTCTGCACTCTCTGAAAGGGCTGCGTGGGGTGCCCGCAGGACTAGGAGGTAAGGCACTCACCAGGGTACCCAGCAGCCATTGCCAGCTGGGTCTGCTCCATCCATCAGGCACAGCCCCCGCCCCCTGCCCCCCCAGTGAGCGGCACCAGGGCGATGCACATGTCGAATGTTGCATCTCCATTGAGCAGAACGTCACCAGAGTCCCCAGGCCCCACTCACCGAGCACCTAGTCCTTCTTCCAGTGAAACAAGATGGAGCAAGGGCAAAGTCCAGAGGCAAGGGCAGACAGGTGATGCTGTCTTCTGGAGCACTCTGACAGGACACAGTCACCTTGGGAGGCATTGAGGGCAGAGAGCAGAGAACGAGAGAGAAGATATCTGACCACAACTCACCTGGGTTCTCCATGCTTCTCACTCACAGACCACCCCCTCAAACCTGTGCCCAGAAGCCAGGCCAGGAGACCACACCTGTAGGGAGGGGCTCCGGATTCACAGTCATTGCTAAGTCTCCATGTCCATCACCCTTGGAGAAGACCTAAATCCGTTTCTAAAACTTAAATCGGACCATGGCACTCCCCTGCTTAAAATTCTTCCATAACTTTCCATCCCTCATTGGGTAAAGTCTTCAAACAGTAGACTCAAGAACCCCAAATGACCTGGCACCTGAGGACCACCTCTCAGCAGCCTCTGAACCCGGTGCTGTATTAGTGCTATTGTGGTGATGAACACTTTAATCAAAACCACGAATAAATGCTTACTTTATGATCCTCATGCTGCATTTTGAAAGGCAGGGAACACGTAGTGCATTTAGAAGGATGTACAGCAGGTGTTGGTGCAGATGTCAGAAACACAGGACAGTGCTGGAGCTGCAATCTTGGTTTCCTCATGCTGTGTGTCTTTGGGCAAGTTACCTAACCTCCCTGTGCCTCAGTTCCCTTCTATAAAATGGGAGCTAAGATAGCATCTACCTCATAGGATTGTTCTGAGAGTTAATGAGTTAATACACGTTTCGAGGAAGTCTGGCACTCGGTAAGCAAGTGTTGGGTATTATTAAGTAACTGAGACACACAGACTTGACTTCCCAGGCTGTATTTGATTGCATCCAGCCCTAAACTTGTCCCTAAGCTGTGATCCACTGCCTCTGCTCACACAACTACAAACCCCATTTCCACCAGGTTTTCTTGTTTTTTGTTTTTGGTCATGTTCTGGAAAGGAAGCCTTTAGCTCTGCTTTTGTAGGACACAGACTTCCACAAGCTTTATCTTTCCCCCTCCTTAATTCACACTCAGGCTCACATATTGGTCCATCCACCTCTTGTGTTTCTTTTACACGTCTGGTCATTAAACAAGCATCATGTCACCGTAGAGTTCACTTCTCATTAGTCAACGGGAAGAACATGGAATCCTGTTCCTGAGGGCCCTGCCACTGCTATTCCCTTTGTGTTATTACAATTACATGGATGCTCTCGCCTCCAGTGACCCGTAGATGGCACTATTACCTTTGGCTGGGCACAGCAGGACTGTGCTGCTTAGAGTATTTTTACTATGGGTGTGAATCTGGTCCTCCTTGCGATTCTGTAGGACGGAGTGATAGATATGATGGAATCCTGGCTTTCCAGGGATTTCCAGACCCCCTCAATAAATGTGGCCAGTAATACTAGTAATCCTATCCCTACCCCTTCCTCTCTAGGCCAGTAAATGGATAAAGACTTCAGTAAATGGATAAAGTTGCCAGATTCTTTGAACAGAGAGACAGGTGCTGGCTTCATGGAAGACAGACAGCTGCGGGCCTTATCCCCACGGAGCAGACACAGAGGATCAGTCGTGGTCTTTGGGACAGAGTGGAGGTGGCCTCTTTCCCACAAACTGTTGCATACACCAAGCCCTGACAAGTTAGGTCCTGAGAGTCTAGAACCTCTAGAAACACCAGGGTCCCCTGTTGTGAGGCAGCCCCCAAAAACAGGAGTCAGGCAGCAGTGGGACTGCACACATCCTTGCTCCACCAAAGTTGTTCTTACCAAGGTCACGGTGAAATGACCATTTTGTTTTTCTTATAGTCTGAATGTTTACGTCCCCCCAAATTCATATGTTGAAATCCTAACCCCAGTGTTATGGTATTAGCAGGTGGGGGCTTTGGGAGGTAATTGGATCACGAGGGTGGAGCCCTCATGAATGGGATTAGTGCCCTTATTAGAAGAAACACGAGAGATGACTTCCCTCTCCACCATGTGAGGGTACAAAGAAACAACAGATGTCTGTAAACCAGGAAGAGGGCCTTTGCAGAACCCGACTGTGCTGGTACCCTGGTCTCAGCCTCCCAAACTTCAAAACTGTGAGAAATAAATGTTTGCTGTTTAAGCTGCCCAGTCTGTGGTTTTCTGTTATAGATGCCTGAACTAAGACACTTTCCAAATCTAATAGGCACTTTCCTCTCTTTGTCTTTTCTTACCTCTTTGCACCATTCCATCCAAACCCCACCCCCTTCAAACTCCCAGTGCCCTTGGATTTTGTGGTCTCACATGCTCCTGGTTTTTTCCTATTTCCCTGGCTGCTCCTACTCAGAAATCTTCCTGAGCTCCTTTTCTTCTACCTTTCCCCTACTGTCGGTCTTCCTTGTAGGTCTAATCTTGATGCTCTTCCCTGCTCTCCACACAAATTCTCCCTGGGTAACCTTCCTTCCCTCCTCACTCTCCAATTCTCTCTCAACCTAAATCAGTCAGCCAGACTCCCCTTCACTTGCTTATCACACAGAGCCTTCAAAGGCAGTAAAACCTGAACCAGACCTCATCTGTCCACCACAGTTCCTATCCCCTCCCTGGCCCCCAAGTCTGCCCTTGTCTTTATGTCCCCAAGTCACCTAAACCAGAAACCTGAGTATCACCCTTGACTCCTAGGGCTCCTAGTTTCCTAGGGCTGCTGGGAAAAAGTACCACAAACTGGGGGGCTTAACTTAAAACAACAGAATCTTTTTCCCTCACAGCTCTGGAGCCCAGAAGTCTGAAATCAAGGTGTTGGCAGGGCCACTCCCTCCAAAGGCTATGGGGGAGGATCCTTCCTTACCTATTCCAGCTTCTTGTGATTCCATGTGGTCCTCAGCTCGTGGCAACATCACTTCAATCTCTGCCTTTCTCTTCTCATGGCCTTCTTCTCTGAGTCTCTGTGTGTTGTTTTCTCTTATAGAAAGACTCTCCTTGGGTTTAGGGCCCAACCTAAATCCAGGATGATCTTGTCTTGATCCTTGACTTAATTACATCTGCAAAGACCCTGTTTCCAACGAAGGTCACATGCTGAGGTTCTGGGTGGTCATGAATTTGGTGGGGACATTATTCAACTCACTAAAACTCCTCCACTTCCCTCGACAATCTAACAATTCTACCTGCCTCACACAATGGATCCACTCACTTCTCTTCATCCACACGGTCAGGCCACCACTTCCTGGATCATGGCACCTGGTCCAGGTCTCCAGGCCTCCAGCCCTGCCTTCTATCCACTCCCTACACAGCAGCCAGAACAGGTCAAATCCTGCTCCTTACCTCACAACCTTCAATACACACGCACACACACACACACACACACACACACACACACACACACACACAGAGTCCCTGGGAGAAAGCTCAAGCTCCTTAGCCAGGACCCCACTCCCTCTGTAAACTGCTTTTGCCTTCCTCTCTGCCTTAGCCTATGACAACTAACTGTCCACCTGCTCTGTACTTCTCTTCCTCAGGCTCCAAGCTTAACTGGACCAAAAACGCTCACGCTGCCCGTGCCCAGGTCTCTGCACATGATGTTCCCTGTGGCTGAAATGCCTATTAGCCTTCCAGACTAACCTCACTGCCCGCCTTCACCACCTCACTGACTCCTCCAAGTCTCAGTTTGGATGCGAATTCCTCTCTTAGATGTTCCTGATCCTAGTCACGGAAGATTCCCCTTGGGGCTCTCCCAGCTCCCCAGGCCACCCTCAGCACAGCCCTGGTCCTACTGTACCACGTGTGTTTCCTCAGGCGCTGGGTCATGTTCACCACGCAGCTTCTGCCCCTGGCTCAGAACTGGATGCAACAACAAATAACACGTTGTGAGTGCCCAGCCTATGTCAGGTGCTGTCCTCAGCATTTTACTCGCTTTAACTCATTTACTCTTCATAACAGCCCTGTGAAGTCGTTAGTATTAGTCCCATTTTTTAGATGCGGAAACAGGTGCCGAGATAGGGGGTAACTTATTCAAAGTAACAAGGCTAGGGACTTCCCTGGTGGTCCAGTGGTTAAGACTTCGCCTTCCAATGCAGGGGGTGTGAGTTCTATCCCTGGTCGGTGAGCTTAAATCCCACATGCCTCGGGGCCCAAAAACCAAAACGTAAAACAGAAGCGATATTGTAACAAATTCAATAAAGACTTTAAAAATGGTCCACATCAGAGTTTCCCAGGGCAGTGGTTATGAATCCGCCTGCCAATGCAGGACACGGGTTCGAGCCCTGGTCCGGACAGATCCCACATGCTGCGGAGCAACTAAGCCCGTGCACCACAACGACTGATCTTGCGCTCTATAGCCCGTGAGCCACAACTACTGAAGCCCGCGCGCTTAGAGCCTGTGCTCCGCAACAAGAGAAGCCACCGCAAAGAGAAGCCCGTGCACCACAAGGAAGAGTAGCCCCCGCTCACCGCAACTAGAGAAAGCCTGAGTGCAGCAACGAAGACCCAATGCAGCCAAAAATAAATGTAAATAAAATAAATAAATTTTATTTATAATAAAATAATACATTTACTATTTTAATAATAAATTATAAATATAAATAAATAAATTATAAAATATTTTTAAATTAAATAAATAATAAATTTAATATTTTTATTTATTTATTTATTCTTTTAGGTCCACATCAAAAAATCTTTAAAAAAAAAAGCTATTAAGTGACAAATCCAGTATTCCAACACAGGCAGTCTCACTCCAGAGTCTACTCTTAATCATTATGCTATAGTCAAATATTTATGGAAATAATTAATTAGTGACTTCATTAGTTAATTCGTTAATGTAAAATGGAGACACCAAGGTCCCTAAACATGTATCAAACAAACAGAATGTGTGGAGTTCATTTGCAAGCTGATTAAAGCAAGCTACCTATAGAAAGACACATATGAGATAACACAAAAGATGTGAACAGTGACTAGATACTTGATGATGTTAAGAATTAGTACTAATTGTAGTTATAATTATTGTGGTTTTTCTAAAGAGTTCTTACTTCTTAGAGATACATACTGAAGTATTTACAGTAGAAATTATATAATATCTGGGATTTTCTTTAAAACAATTTGAGGAAAAACCATAGAGGTGTAGATCAAATAAGATTGGTCAATTGTTGACGCTGGGTAATGGGTGCATGGGTGAGGACATTATACTATTTTCTCTACTTTTG